TTAATAGGCATGGCGGTGGCAAGGATTGTCTGATATTGGGAGACTTTGACACTGCTAGTATCGACTGGGAATCACTCCATTGTGATCTGTCCCCGAACTCCTTTGATGCCATGTTCCTTGAAACCGTGCTAGCTTGCCATCTGTTGCAACATGTTACAATACCCCCCAGAATATGCCCTATTCAGTCGCCACACATCCTCTATATTGTGCTCACACCGGCAGAGCCACATGTTACAGATTTGACTGTTCTCCAACCAATCGGGAAATGTGACCACTGCATGATTTCCTTTTGTTGGATACGGCACCTCACCATTCACAGTCACGGATTATGCCGTCGGAACTTCTGGCGTGCTGATCCACTTCTTTAGAAAGCTGCCGCCGGCGCTATGGACGGGAGTATCCCGCAGCACTTACAAGTTGGTGATGCGCGCGGGCTGAGTATACCGTTCTCGCGGTATACTCGGCTCGCGCGACTGCTGGTGGTCGCGCGGCAGCGAAGCGCCGTTAAGGCGCACAGCTGACACATTATTTTTATTTTTTATTTTTTTACCCTCTTACACTTCAAGTACTCATCACTCATAACTCAGCTCGTTCCACTCTCCAAAGCGTAACGTTTATCCAAAGGCCCTTTGTGAATTGTTCGTGAGTTAAAGTCGCTTATGAGCCGACGACACAGATTTTGGGATAAGTTCATAACGACGTCATCACTTTAGACTGCCTTGATTACAAAGTGGTCAGGAATATCTGCATCTTATGGAAGCGTGAGAAACGACAATACAAGCGCTGTTTAGCTGAGGAATCTTCAACTCCTCCCAAACTACTTTTTTCTTATCTCATGAGGCGTATGAAGGCTGGTAATGGAATGCCTGCTTTGTATTCCAACGGAGATCATTTACTATTTCACGAACATGTAGCAAAAGAAGTGCTCATCGCCGTGCAGTATTCTTCAGTCTTTTCGACACAACCGCTGTTTAACAGTTATCCTGTACCTGCACCGCACTTCACTGTAGCGCACCTAAAAATCAGCCTTGCTTCGGTTGCCAAGCTTCCCTTTGAACTAAATCCGAATTCCTCACCAGGTCCTGATGGTCTAAATCATTTGTTTATCAAAACAGTAGCTGAGCACATGGCTGTACCTGCCTGTCACGTGTTTCAGCCATCCCTCGACGAAGGACTTCTCTCGCTTGCTTTAAATAAAGGTACCGTTAAGGCCATATACAAAGGTGGAAATCGTCAGGATCCTGCAAACTACCGGCCGATTTGGTTAACTTCCATTTTGTGTAAAGTCATGGAGAGAATTCTTAAGAGGGCATTGAATCGCCACCTTCCACTCAGCAAGTCTTCTGGAGGGCACGCTTGTGTGCTTACAACCTGCTTGTGGCTAGAGAAAATTGGGCTAAATCTTTGGATTCCGACAATCGCCTAGACGTCGTTTTTGTCGACTTCAGGAAAGCATTTGATAATGTTCCACACGAACGGTTCTTCCTTAAAAAATCTGGTATCGGTGTTTCTGAGGAGGTTCCTCTTAGATCGCCGATATTTTGAAAGGCCGTAGTATGCGGGTGAAGGTGAACGAAACTTATTCTAAACCTGCTCACATGACAAGTGGAGTTCCACAAGACTCCGTCCTCGGTCCTGAATTGTTCAAACCATTCATCAACAACCTTTCATCAAAGCTCTGTACGGATTGTTTGCTATATGCTGACGACTTAAAGCTATGGCTAGAAATGTCCGAGCTTGAGGATGCTTACCGATTATAAGGGACCCTTGACCGCCTGCACAGCTGGTCACAGGAGTGGCGATTGCCCATCAATTAAGAAAGGTGTTCAGTCCTCCGTATCTGTACTCCGTACCCGGTTGGTGTTTATCACATTGGTGGCATCTTGTTCAGCTACGCTGCTTGTGAGAAGAACCTTGGTGTACGTGTGTATCCTGATTTGCGCACAACCCAGGACACATTGAGGAGGGTAGCAACTGCCAATAGGATGTTCTGTGCGGTAAGGAGATCTTTCGCTGGTATGACTCCTACTCACTACCCATGTAACCCCATCCTCGAATACGGCTCATCCGCGGTCTGTCCTCTTACAAAGACCGAACGTGTGCTCATAGAGAGGATCCAACAACGAGGGTCAAACTCGACCTCTGCGTTCCGCAATTTGTCTTACGACCAGCAACTCCGAACGATAAACGTGTTTACCCTTGATTATCCTCGTTGTCGTGGTGACCTGATTTACACCAGACGCATTTTGCGAGGGATGATGGGAAAGGAACTAAAGGAGTTTATTCCACTCAGAGTTGATAGCTCGATGAGGGGTTACTCCTGGAAACTGTTTAAGCCAAGGAGGCTCCGAGTCCATCCCGTGTGGTGATGGACTGGAACAATTTACCAGAGCCAGTTGTCAGCCCACAGTGAGAAAAGTTTCAAACGACTGTTGGATTCTTATGTGCTGAGCAATAAAAAATAGTAATAATGTATCAGCTGTACGCCGCAACGGCGTTTCGCTGCCGTGCGACCAGCACCAGCCGCTCGCGTACTGAGTACACTGCAAGGACGCCCACGCCATCGCGGATTCGAACCCGCGTAGCAAGATTACGACCCAAGCTCGTTCTGAGCAAGACAAGGTCGTGTCGCTTTCGCTGCGATCTTGATGGTCCCGTATGAACAGCATATCACAATGATCCGCGCAATCCCGGCTTCAAACGGCAAGCGAAGGAGCTGACATGGGATTCTGCTTCTGCCCTCTACCACTCCAGTGAACAAATGTTACACCAACTAAATCGTCTACGGTATGCACCAATCGCTTTTGGAAACTTTCACTTGAAACCTTCAAACCAAATTTTTATGCAGACAAAGATAACGACCGAACGGTGTGGAAAAGATGTAAGGAACATGGATTGTTCATTAAGAGGCATGCGCCAGAACGCGGAAGGCAGGACTACCTTCGTGAAATACTTATCTTTGGCCAAACGCGGTGAAATGTCCTCTAGGGTAGACAGCGCATGATGCTCTCTACGTAGGGTCTCATTCATCGGTTTCGGGCCAATACATATGCGCATTTCGTTCGTCTTTTTCGTTATGTCTGTGAGCTGATTAACCCAGTCCGTGCATTTGTCAGCATTGGCACTTCTTTCATCTGTTATCATTCATGAGGACAGAGGCAAGCAATTTGGAGGCGATGATTCTTCCATGATGACCGCATTCCGATCTTAAGTATCCCTTGAAAAGTGGGACTATGAGAGAGCGCCTCCAGTCAGTTGGGATAGTTTCCTGCTCCCACAGCTTCACTATTAACTCGTGTAGATCATAGACGAGAGCAGGTCCCAGGAATTTGAAGAGAGCTGGAGGAAGATTATCTGCTCCTGCGGCTTTACTTAACTTCACTTCGAACCTAACCTCGGTTCGATCGTCTCGGCTTCCTGATTAGTGTCTGAAAGATGATGAACACGTTTGGCTTGACGCACCCACTGACGTGACTTGGAGCCGGTCTCAGTGGTGTTCCTGCTGTGCGTTTCTTTGTCCCTCCCTATCCCTGTTAGCTTTCCCCTCCAACCAGGGTCTCATTACTTAGCATAATATAATTTTGCGTAATAACTTTTTTTCTGCTGCATAGTAGCCAACTGGTAGGTTTCCGGAACGATGTCCATCTGTTACTGGAAGCTCAGCTGACATGCATTTGCTGCAGGTTGTTTCCACTTTTTCAATTAGTTATTGTGGCATAGTAACTGAAGTGTTATCCACCTCTAGATAACGTGTATATTGATGATGATGTCTTGAGGTTATGTGTCGGATGATAGCCTTCTGGGCAGCAGTACCTGCACAGCTTAAGTGTCGTGTGGAAAACGAGAATACTAGGAAACAGTGAGTGTTTACTAGATACTGTCGGAGCATAGTAACTTTCTGGGGCTAGGAAGTCCCATAATTTAGATTTTTTTATTCCGGACCGACTGTGCTTCAGAAAATTATAGAGCCGGAATCCTACAAGAATTTTCCAGCTTGTACCTTGTCATGTAAGTGATATACCACCCATTACGATTCAACATTTGCCGATTTTACGCAAAATGCGCTGCAGGTATTTGGCTGCTCTTGTCTGGGTAGCACGCCGAACAGCCCCGTGTTGCTCGCTGGGTGCATCGGGTTTATGATCCATCTCCATCAAATGGTTCGGCGGCAGTGTTCCAGGAAGTGGTGGGTTACCTTATGGCAAGCCTTCTCCCTATAGAAGCCACAGCTGTCCGTTAAACAACAATGTGACGTAGCGGATGTGACTAACTGCTAAATAAAGTCCCTGCCTTTTGCTAATCCGGATGATACTACGCGCTCACAGACGTCAGTTACTATGTACAAAGACACTTTCTCAAGCTGACGATCCGACCGAACACAGTTCCAAATGTAGTGTGGCATTTGAAAATTCAAACAATAGTTTTATATATTAATACGTACAAATACACATAAATTGATCCATTATGCAACTAGTAAATCTGCAACATGATTGAAGATTTACCGATCCTTTGTGTTCCTCTCATTGTCAGGGATAAAGTATCTGCTCATTTACAAATATTATCTAAGCAACACTATGCATTTTGCACCAATATATTTTCACCAAATAACAACAGGAAAGAATCCGCTAAAGTAAACTTGGCTTCACAGTAGTATCACTGATCTGAAATGATTGTCCCCAGTTTGCACTATGTCAGAGTCGTCTAATGTAATGCGGTCTGATAAACGAACTTTCACAGATGAAGATGGAGATGAGTCGACAAATTTCGAATCGCTTCTAAGGGCTCTTTGAGAGAGCGGTACGCTTAAATCTTCATACCGAACAGGAAATCTGCAGGTCCGAGTATCTGAGTTATTTGGGGCTTCGTATCCCTTTTGAGTTAGACGAAAATGGGAAACTCCACCTTTCTCGGTCACTTTGGTTCAAGTATTTTCAACTCTATGCTTTTCAGGTGGAATTCAAAGAGTTAGGCAAGCAAAGAGCCCTGTGGCTTTGACATACTCGCGCAATCCGCTTGTTTCCTGGATATGAAGGTTGCATTCGTAAGTTTTTCATGGTTTTCTCATCCTTCAGGTTACTGGTTCCAATAAAGGGATAGGATTCGGAATCGTTGCCAAATTGGCACATGCTTATGGTTCCACCGGAGAGTGGGACGTCTACTTAACAGGTAATTTCCTATTGTTATCTAACTGGCGTACAGCTCGAAATGTTGACTTGGGCAAAAAAGCATGTGAGGAATTAAAAAGCAGAGGCCTCCATGTTAAGTTCCATCAGCTGGATATCACCGATGTTGAGAGCCGGAAAAATTTCCTGGCATACATGAAAGCCCATTATCCAAACGGGATCAACGTCGCCGTTAATAATGCTGGTATTGTATATAAAGTAACTTCAATGGTTTGCTCATCACGTTGCAGAACGACTCAACAGCTCCGTTTGGCGAACAAGCTAGGGTTACTGTGCACACTAATTTTACCTCTACCCTTGATTTCACATTGGAATTTCTTCCTCTTCTCGCAGAGAACGCCAGGTATACTTTGGAGTAACTCACCTCAATTCCGCAGAGTTGTCCAGGTGTCTAGCATATTTGGGCACATGACACTGAAAAAACTGGGAGATGAGTTGTACGCTAAGTTTACTTCAACGATGAGTTTGGACGAACTGAGAGCTTTGGTTGGGGAATTCGTGAAGTGAGTCGGTTTTTCATTTTTGCCCCTGTACTTCCATCTCACCCAACCAACAACATTACTTTGCTATCTGCTAATGCCTTTGGGCTTTACAAATTAGGTGAAGTGGGCCCTGTTTACTCAAAGGAGGGCCTGAAGTGGTCTGATGAGCAATCTTATGTTCATAGAGTTGTAGCGAGCAGGAAGGTTTGTCATCTGCTTTGCTTTCGGTTCGCTGCACATTGACGCGAAACGACGTTCTGTGGCAGCTGCGTGCGAAGCAGAAACCCCATCGTTCTCCTCTATCTGGTATATGACAAGAATCGATAGTGGGGTTCTGCAGACTTTTCCAGTCATCCAAATTTGGGTGAATGGGGCGACATTGAGACGAATTTGAAGCCTTTGTGAGTTCTTGTCATCGGCGTTAAACTGAAGTAACTGTTATGACTCCATCCGGATCCTCAACAATCAACCACAGCAGTACATGATCCACTCAAGCTGATGCTTCGCTGCCATACACCCATGAAACTTATGGAATAAATAATAATAAGTGGGAGAGGAGGAAGGACTTAATGCCCTAAGCAAACATCCGGCATAAAGGCACCTACATCTTCGCAGTTGAGTTTGGGGAACCCGCTGTGTGGTTGGGTTGCGACATGCAACTTCTGTTGAGACCTCGATTCACTTTGAGGTAAACCTCGATTATTCCGATTGCGAGGATTGTATCCGAAATGGAAGTATTTGGGTGTTGCTCCTCCCAACACTGGCACACCACGACGGCGGTTTCGTCCTGGTTTTGACTCATCAGGTGGCGTTAGCCTTGAGCTGGGGTGGAACTCAGAGTGTAGTATTTCACGGCTGACACCCTGAAAACTACACTATTGAGATCTGCGCGCAACGCTTTGCACAGCGGAAAAGAATTCGAAGTTGAATTTGGGGAACCTGCGCCTACACCTTGTGTTAACAACATACCGTCACAAAGAGCTGGGTATCGTTCACAGGTAAGGCGGTGTCAGCGAGACAGCTTCGTTGCGGCTTTCACTGCCCGCGTCATAATGAGCCCTTACACTGCAGATAACCCAGCACCAAACATACATTAAACAGGCAGTCTGATTGCGTGACGACAGGAGACGCGCCACTTGTGTCGACTGCGAGCCAGATGCTCGAGCTAAGCACGAGGGGATTCACGTGGACTCCAGCCCGGATGGTGATACGAACCGACGGAACCCAGTTTGGTCGTCAGTCAACTTTTGTCCACCTCGGGCCTTGCACCACCCTACATCTGGCAGACTAAACAAGCCCCTCCTAGGTGAGTGATGACCAGGCATACGTTGTACGTGCCCAAGCGAACGCAACTTATGCAGTGCTATCGGTGCTTATTATTGCTTAGTACTCACCTACGCACATCATCGTTGCTGATACGCTGGTGCCATGCGACACCACAGTGCTCCGGAGACAGCGATGATCGATGACTTGAAGGTGCCTCAGATCATCAGACTGAAGGGGCCGAGTCTCACTCCCATAAAACAGGACGGCTCTCACTGTGGCCTTGTAAACACTATTCCAGACGGAGGGAAATTCCCTTCGTTCGCCAAAGATGGTGCAGTTTCAAGAATGCAGTTCTGACTTTTGCAATGCGTGAACCGACTTCAGTTCTTATGTGCGCATCGTTGCTGATGCAGCTACCAAGGTAATTGAATTCATCAACCACCTCGAATTCTTTGTTATTAGGAGTCAAAGTATGTCATCAAGTGGTGGTGGTCCTGCAGCAACACTTTACACTTTAAAGTTGTGAAGCGCATACCAAATAATGGGACCACTCTACACAGGTTATTCTGGGTCGATAGTGCTGCCGCAACACCGCTAACAAGCAAGACAATATCGTCCGCATAATCAAGATCAACTAGCTTCTCATCAGGCAGCACCTCGACGCTTGCATCGTGAGGCTCCGCAAAGGAACACACCACGATGCAGTCCACGACGGAACTGAACAAAAATGGGGAAGTTGGGCAACCCTGACGAACGCCACTTGTTGTCAGAAAGGCATCCTACAAATCATTGTTGACCCTAATGCAGCCTGTGGTGTTCGGCTACGGATCACCTAAAATGTTCACATCTCTCATGGGAACATCTTTCACGCAAATATGTCGAACAGAATGCAACGATCGACTGAATCGAACGAACTGTTGAAATCGAGGAACACTGCTATTGTCGGCCTGTGGTATGAGTGGAACTGCTCTAGCACCTGCCGCAGAGTGAAAATGTGGTCTATACAGCCACGCCCTAGGCACAAGCCTGATTGCTCTTCCCTAGTCCGGTATTCTAGTTCCGCAGTGAGACAACGAACGAGAATTGACGCCACTGATTTTGTCACAACTGGCTTTAGGCTAATAGCCCTGTGGTTAGCACACTCCTTCTGACTGCCCTTCTTATATATTGCCACTATAATCGATTCACTCCAGTTAGCCGGCACACTCTTCTTTCCAGCTATGTTCGTTTACGGAGGTCAATGCTTTGCGGATGACATTACCCTTTTTTAAATAGTTCAGATTGTTAGGTAATCCGGACCAATGGCACGAAAACTATTGGGGACTATGATCGTGTTTCCGGTCTCAGGCTCCGATGGCGCCCCTAAATTAACCATCCATAGCTCGTCCTGCATCACCTGAGTTTTAAGAGGTGCGGGAGCAAGTGGCCTACTGAACTTATCTTGAAAATGTACCACCCAGCGAGGCATACGGCGCTTCTCATTGTGTATGAGTGCATCCGCGCTGTCTCTGATTCTCTCACTGGCGCCTGGTTTTCTGGGACCGGTGATGCGGATTAGCTGGAAGCACTTGCGGTAATTAATCACTGCTCCTGCTTCCTCCATTTCTTGATCCCATCAGTCCGCCAGACTTTTTTTCAGCACACAGGCTGTGCCTTAATTCGCTCCCAATATTCCGTTTGGTCACATTGTACTGAGGGCCCGCCGGGTGGTTTCTTCTGGATTCCAACTGGTTCACCGACCTCTCGGAAATACCTTGACTGGTGCAGGGACGATTGATAGTGCCACATGCAGGTGTTCTTGCGTCCTACATATCGGCCGAGATCCTATTCCACTGAAGCTCAGTGTCATTAGGAAAAGACAGCGAAACTTCGCTGCGAAGTGCGTCTTGATAGGAATCGGCAACAATTGGATACTGTTGTCCATTCACATCGTCAAACAAATGCTTGTGTACTCGCTCCGACTGTTTCGTTGTTCACGCGCAGGATGACAATTCCGCTTTCCTGAGGACCCTGCTGATAAGCGCACATCAGGGCACTAACTTGCCCACTTTTCCGATTCCGAGTCAATGTTTGGCTAGTAAACGCAACTTCACGCAACAGTTTTTCTTCTGTTAACATCACGATGACCAGGATGTAAAAGCTGCGTGATTTTTTGTGGAACTTTACGATAGTAACATCTTGGTTCTGAGCACAGTATAACTGAGTGGACTATTCGGAGCGAACTAACGCGGAGTCTGCGTGCTGACAAAGAAGCCTGGTGGACTGGTGGGCTCAAGAAATGGTGGAAGCAGGAGCAGTAGGTAATTACCGCAAGCTCTTCCAGCTGATCGGCACCGCTGGTCCCAGGAAAGCAGACGTCAGCGAGACAGTGCGGGTTCCCTGCTTCATGTTGGACGGAGCACTTTGGAGGTCCTTTCGGTTGGCCACCTGCTTCCGGTCCTCTTCCTACTCAAGTGGTTCAGACTGAGTCATGACCGGTTAGTTTAGAGACGTCGTCGGAGATTGAGGTCCGAAACGCGATCGCAGCCCGTTGAGCGTTTTGTGCTGTTGACCCGGCTTCCCTTATGTCCATACTATTTAGTCTTAATGAGGTCATCTTCAGTGCACTGACCTCCATGTTCCATCAGGTCTGAAAGGAAGAGCCATCCCAGCTAACCGGAGTTAATCGATTATGTAGGTGATATACAAGAAGAGATGCCTCACGGATTGTGCTGGCCACGGGGTATTAGCCTAAAGCCAATTTTGACGAAGGTACTTGCCTCAATTCTTGTTCGTCGCCTCACTGCGGAATCAGAATCCCGGATATGGGAAGAGCAAGCAAGCTTATGCCCAGGACGGGACAGTGTAGATCACCTATTCACTTTGCACCTTGTGCTAGAGCATCGCCACACGTACGGTATATCGACAACAGTTTTGTTCATGGTCTTCAAGAGTTCGTTCGATTCAGTCCATCAATGCATTTTGTTCGACTTACTTGCGTGGAAGGTCTTCCCATGAGAGATGTGAACATTTTACTGGAACAAGACAATCCGCGACAGTGTCTGCGGTGACTTGTCGGATACCTTTCCGACAACAAGTGCTGTTCGCCAGGGTTGGTTGAGTTTCGTCGTGGACTGCATCGTGGAGTGTTCCTTTGCGTTGAAGTGTTGCCTGGTAAGAAGCTAGTTGCTCTTGAGTATGCGGACGATATTGTCT